ATCCCTGTGACAGGTGATGCAGCGGCGTCATGCGAACAGCATCCAGCAAGAGGAAAACAGGGTCGGGCTGCTTTATGGACATGGCGGTTGCAAAGCGTGTGAGGTCTTGACTTTAAGTGATCTTGAGCAGACCCTGAATGTTACAGAGGTACACTATTGCTCCTGGCTGGAAGATGTGGCCTTTCAAAGAAAATCGGCCGAGTACCTGTGGATGCTGGTCTGTAGCACAGGCGCTGTGCATAAAATGCGCTTCTTGTCGACATGGCTCTTGTTCTTGCTGCGGCAACATGCAGCAACTCACACGACTTGCGGTTGTGGAGAGGTATGATTGTGGTGCTGGCCTACTTGTTTGGGAGCCAGTGCGCCATGTTTCTCATCAGATTTTTAACACAGAAGGACTGAGTGCCTGCTTATGGCTACGACCCAGCAGGCTTGATATGTGATTCAGGCACCAAACAGAAAGAGTAGGTATCACTAGTGCATGCGCTACCTCTGAAAACTCCTTGACAAAGAATCTTGCAACACGCTCATCAATGACCCAGTTCTAGGATAGCTGGTTGTCATTTTGAGATTCCTTCAGACATCCAGATTCTAGACCCTGAGAGTCTTCTGACCTACCAATCTGATGACCAAATACCAAATACCGGGGATTGTAAACTTCTAATCAGAGTTTTGAACAAAGTTCCACTCCACGCCTGTTGCAGTGCCAGGTACTTTGTGAGTGGAGCACTGATTGACCTCATGACATATCTCGGGGCCAGCGGACTCCAACGGCAAGAATGCAGGTACACGAGTTGTTGGTTGCAGATGGTGTCATGCGAATGTGATCCCCAAGGCCCCAAGGCTACCAGTGATTGAAGGGCGTGTGCTGTTTGCGATCACTGGGAGATTTTTGAACATGGCTTTCGACCCGTGGTCAATCAACCAGATCACAAACATGGTGCCAGGTGCTGTTTTTCACCATCCGCACGCCCTATTTGCCCTGGGTGCCTTGTCCTACTGGCCAGCCCTCAGTTTCACTTGGGAAACATCATCATCATATTTCTGTTTACAGTGGTTTGTAGAGTGATGTGTAGACCTTTCCAAAACATCAGAGGCACAATGAAATGATGAATGGTATACCAGACCGGCCCAAATCAATCTATTTTTCCGCATTTTTTGTTCCATTTCAGAACATTGCCTCGCTGAGGTCTCTCTCTGGATATCCCTTCTGATGGGAGGCACGTGGAGAAAGCCGAACTAAGAGAGATTTTTTTCGCAGATTGCATCATTTGCACCGTTGGTTCTCCTGGGAGGTAACGTCCAGGATCAAAATCTCATGATACATGAAGAGTGCAAGAGCTAGAGTCAGCATCAACCCTGGAGAATTCCGACAGCAAGTGGGGTGCATGATGATCATCCAAGATGTGGCTGATTGGAAAGTACTTTGAGACGACGAAGAACACGACTTTGGGGGGAAATTTTCCCTTTTCAGGACCAGCTTCTTGGACTCGTGGTGGGTCATACCTACTTCTTCTTCGAGGAGTTGGTTGCGAATCGGGTGATCCCAACTGTGCGATTTGTGAAACCTCCAAAAAGGGCTTTCGCCTTTTCCGGACGCCAAGACTGAAGATGGCCGGGCGAAATTCTGTCCGGCGGCCTTTTCCCTGTAAATTTCCGTGTAAAGTGGCTCTTCTGACATGTTGATGTCCGTTTCGACTGCGCAGGCTCGCACAAAGTCTGCGGCGCGGTTTTGGTCTGCGGCATTTTTCCTGTAAATTTCCGTATAAAGTGGCACTTGTGCAATGTCCAAGTGCAGTTCGACTGCGCAGGCTTGCACAAAGTGTGGCGCGCGGTTCTGGGAAGGGGCGTTTACACACAGAAGAGCTTTTACACAGAAGAGCTTTTACACACAGAAGCTTTTACACGGAAGAGCCTTTACACAGAAGAGCTTTTACACAGAAGAGCCTTTACACACACAGAAGAGCTTTTACACACAGAAGAGCTTTTACACACAGAAGAACATTTTACACAGAAGAGCTTTACACAGAAGAGCTTTTGTGCAGAGAGCTTTTACAAAAAGAAGAGCTTTTACACACAAGCGCTTTTACACGGAAGAGCTGAGCTTGTGCATTTACACACACAAAACTTTTCACACAGAAGAGCTTTTACAGAGAAGAGCTTTTGCACACAGAAGGTTTTACACAGAAAAGCTTTTACACAGAAGAGCTTTTACAAAGAGAAGCTTTTACACAGAAGAGCTTTTACACAGAAGAGCTTTTACACACAGAAGAGCTTTTACGCAGAAGAGCTTTTACGCACAGAAGCTTTTACACGGAAGAGCCTTTACACAGAAGAGCTTTTACACAGAAGAGCCTTTACACACAGAAGAGCTTTTGCACACAGAAGAGCATTTTACACAGAAGAACTTTTACACAGAAGAGCCTCTGCACAGAGAAGCTTTTACACAGAAGAGCTTTTAAGCAGAGAAACTTTTAGACAGAAAACCTTTACACAGAGAAACTTTTACACACAAGAGCTTTTACACACAGAAGCTTTTGCACGGAAGAACCTTTACACAGAAGAGCTTTTACACAGAAGAGCCTTTACACACAGAAGAGCTTTTGCACACAGAAGAGCAATTTACACAGAAGAACTTTTACACAGAAGAACCTCTACACAGAGAAGCTTTTACACACAAGAGCTTTTACACAGAGAAGCTTTTAGACAGAAAAACCTTTACACAGAGAAACTTTTACACAGAAGAGCTTTTACGCACAGAAACTTTTACGCAGAAGAGCTACAGAAGAGTTTTTACACACAGAGGCTTTTACACACAAGAACTTTTACACAGAAGAACTTTTACACAGAGAATCTTTTAGACAGAAAAGGTTTTACACAGAAGAACTTTTACATAGAAAACTTTTACACAGCTGATTAACTTTTACACAGAGAAACTATTTCACAGAAGAGCCTAGAAGAGCTTTTACACAGATAAAAAAAATGTTTTACACACAAGAGCTGCGGCTGTTACACAGAGAGCTTTTACACAGAAGAGCTTTTACACACACAGAAGAGCTTTTGCACACAGAAGAGCATTTTACACAGAAGAACTTTTACACAGAAGAGCCTCTGCACAGAGAAGCTTTTACACAGAAGAGCTTTTACGCAGAGAAACTTTTAGACAGAAAACCTTTACACAGAGAAACTTTTACACACAAGAGCTTTTACACACAGAAGCTTTTGCACGGAAGAGCCTTTACACAGAAGAGCTTTTACACAGAAGAGCCTTTACACACAGAAGAGCTTTTGCACACAGAAGAGCAATTTACACAGAAGAACTTTTACACAGAAGAACCTCTACACAGAGAAGCTTTTACACACAAGAGCTTTTACACAGAGAAGCTTTTAGACAGAAAAACCTTTACACAGAGAAACTTTTACACAGAAGAGCTTTTACGCACAGAAACTTTTACGCAGAAGAGCTACAGAAGAGTTTTTACACACAGAGGCTTTTACACACAAGAACTTTTACACAGAAGAACTTTTACACAGAGAATCTTTTAGACAGAAAAGGTTTTACACAGAAGAACTTTTACATAGAAAACTTTTACACAGCTGATTAACTTTTACACAGAGAAACTATTTCACAGAAGAGCCTAGAAGAGCTTTTACACAGATAAAAAAAATGTTTTACACACAAGAGCTGCGGCTGTTACACAGAGAGCTTTTACACACAGAAGCTTTTGCAAAGAAGAACTTTTACATGCAGAAACATTTACACAGAAAAGTTTGTACACAGAAGAGCTTTTACACACAGAAACTTTTACTCGTTGCCGTCGTCACGGTAAATTGGCAAAAACCTATTCATTTGCCATCCCCGTGCACCTCATCATCCTCAACATCATCATCCTGATCCTCATCCTCATCCTCATCGTCATTCTCATCATCATGATCATGATCATGATCATCATCACCACCATCATCATCACCATCACCATCATCATCATCATCTTCTTCATCATCATCATCATCAACATTATCATACATGATCCTCCCACCCCCCACACTGTTTGGGGTCTCTTGCAGGGATAATATTCCCATCTATGCACATGTAGATCATAGAACGGATTTTTGAGAACACCTGCTGGTCTTCAGACATTTCAAACCTGTTTGGGCAATGAGCTGCAGCCCACATTCTTTGACTTGGAAGAGGTTCTGGAGCAGGGTTCTTAGATTGGTGCCTCGCACGCAGGACGTTTTCTTTTTCGAGGCAATCAAGTTGCCTTACGATCCGAGGCGCTTTTGCGCCACAAAAAACAACATACATAACCTGCAGTGTTCAGTGAGACTGCAATGGTCCAAAATGATATCGTACATATTCGTCCATATTATGTTCACGACGCTTTCACTCTCTGGCTGAACAGTTTCACATATTTCACAAACATGTGGCTTCCGCCCGAAGAGACTAGCTGTTGTGCCCAAGGCAGGACTTCGTAATGGTGGAAATCCGGCAAGTCCACCTGCCACTACACTTAGGGTTCGGGGATGATTGGGTTGGCAGGCCGGGCGTTGCTGCCGTGTGCCATGGGTAGCAGCCAGAACCAGGCTTGATGAGAACGTTCTTCCGAGTCAGATGGATTCACAGGGTCTTGAGTCTTGAGCCCAAAAAACACTTTCCGGACTTGGTAAGCACTGTAAATTTCCATGTGAAGTGGCTCTTGTGACATGTTGATGTGCATTTCGACTGCGCAGGCTCGTACAAAGTGTGCGGCGCGGTTCGGTGCAGCGGCATTTTTCCTGTAAATGTCCGCATAAAGTGGCTGTTGTGACATGTTGATGTGCATTTCGACTGCGCGGGCTCGCCCTGGGATTATGATCCCCAATGACGAGCATACTTTTCAGGGTTGAAACCAGCTACCCAATTTTTTCAAACATGAAACAAAGGCATGGCCAAGCCCCAGTCCCTTTTTTTGAGAGGTGAGGCATGGCATGGCTGTTTTTTTTCGTTGAAGGCTGGTGACCTGCTTCTTTTACCTGGGCACCTTCAGCTTGCCCTACTGCTGGAACCTGGGCCTTGGTGCGCTGATGGGATGTTACTCCGCATATCTGTGAGTGAAATAACTAGGACTGATCTGACTGACCTGTGACAAGGTCAAACTGTTTGAGGCCATTATTTCCCTAATTCAGGATACGGTTGTCACGACGCCAGCTTAGCGTATTGGTTTCTTGAAGACGACTTGGAATCTTTTGCCAGTACGAGATTTCGCAGACACAACATGATTTGTCATGTTGATCTTCCACGGTTATGGTATGGGAAAGTGAGAAAGGCTTTTTGCTTTTGTTTGTGTTTCTCAACAAGTTCACGCGCTGCAAGAAATTTAGGTGGTAAGGGCGTAATCATATTTTTCTGTCTCGACCTTCTGTGTTTTTTGGTGTAGCGTTTGGCTTTCAGCAGCCCTCGGGCGAGTGTTTTGCCATCAGTGTCAAGGGTGTGGCACATTCGCCCCAGGTGCTTGGCATTTTCTCAATCTCATGGAGCAGGTGAAACTAAGCAGCTCGATCCCAGACTCGTAGCGATTGAGATTTGATTCGACATTTGTGCATCGTTTGCCCAGCAGCGTATACTGTGAGGCGTGTTTTGCCCCGCTGACAAGTTGAAACCAAAGGTATCAGGTATATCCGTTGGACTCGCATTCTCTGGATACCTTCTATAGACTCCAGATCCCTTGGCTGTACTTGCGCTGTACATCAGTTGCACCACGAAACGAACTGTGCTTCTTCCAAGAAAATTGTCGTCCAGTGCTGCCAGTTCCCAACTGGAGAGAAGTCATCCGAGCAGCATCCATACACCCAAAAGTCTTCGGATGAAGGGCGGTTCAAGTAGCATACCTTCGCAAGAACTAAAACCACTGTTCCTCAAATGCATTAACTTCGCAACAATGTATGAAAAACTCAGCCGGCCGCAACAATGTACGAAAAACTCAGCCAGCCGTGAAGGTTTGCGAAAGTAGTTTTGCAATGAGTAGGCACCACCAAAGAGAAAACCCGCGACACGAGGCTGCTGCAAGAGTAATGGCGACAGAAGGGGACCACTTGAACCAATCCACAGACCGACTGGACAGTCGCTTCCAATAGTAAGCCTGTTCATATGTCTATAGGCAATGTAATCTAAGAGCGGGTTGCATCAAACCTGAAAGGCACCACAATAGCAGGGGGCTTGGGAGTTCTAGATGTAAAATGTCTTGATGAGTTCAAAGAATAATTCTTCTGCATTTTGCACGAAATAGGGCCTGCTTATGCTTTCTGAATGGCAATGGTTGCTCCGGAGCGGGCACTGAATCTGTGATCCCATGTTCCTCAACATGTCAGGTATAGAAAACAGCTTTCAGCCATCGGCAAACTATTGGTGTCTGATTGATACTTCCGTTGTTGATATGTCCCAGAGCTCTCGAGCTCTCCAGTCTGGGCAGCTTTGAACCGCGGTCAAACTGTCCCAGGGAGGCCGCGAGGCCTCAGAGAATGAAGGCCACTGAGGCCACTAAGGCTTCAAGAAAAACACTTGCGACTCCATCCTCCAACATCCTCCAACGAAGCCTCGCAAACTTGTCGTTCTCGAAGAATTTCGGAACACGCTGCATGAGCAGGGTTTTTTGGCTCTCAGCTTCTGGCGATTTGCCTGGAGATCAGGCTTGCTGAGAACATGCGCAACCGTCTCAGATTTTCCCCTGTAAACCCAACATGTGACCCTGATGTTGATCGAATGTTGGATGTCAAAGCAAGATGCTCGAGAATTGCGGTTAAAACTTGTTGTTAGCACGGGTTTGACCCAAGGAAGTGCAAATTGTATGCTGTCCATCTAGGCATGTGCAGACAAATTGTCAGTTCATTAAAACGGGTCGTGGCTCTCACAATAAGATTACGGCTTGTGAGAGCTTGGCCAACGATTTCAGATCCTGTTCCAAAGAAGGGCCGAGTTTGCGATGCATCATTTTGCCGCACGGATCTGCAGATTTTATGTGCGGGTGCTTGAAACAGCTGTTTCCCGCAGGCTTCCAGTTCCTTCCTTCCAAGTGAGGGCCAGTATTGGCCGCCTCGAAGCTTTGAATTCCCTCTCTTGAGTTCCATCTCGGTTTGCGGAGCAGGCCTAACTTGACATTTTTTTGCAAGCCATGTCAATCCTTGACTAGCTCCTTTGGCCCTCCAAGCCATGTATGTCATAGGATTTTTGGCTTGTGAGAGGCTGGCCACGAGGCATCGTTTTGTGGGACAGATTTGCACATTTTGTTTGCGGACGCTCGAGTCAGGTGTTTCCTGCAAGCTTCCAGTTCCTGCCTTCCAAGTGAGGGCCACTATTGGCCGCCTCGAAGCTTTGAATTCCCTCTCTTGAATTCCATCTCGGTTTGGGGAGCAGGCATAACTCAACAGTTTTCTGCAAGCCATGTCAAGGATTCCTTGACTAGCTCCTTTGGCTCCTACAAGCCGTGTATGTCCCTTCCCACTCATTCAGTCAGTTTTAGTTTTAGTCAGATCAGCCCAGAGGAGTCATGACTAATGACCAAATCCTGAAAAAGTAACCCGTTTGTTCCAAAGCACGCGAGGCATCGTTTTGCCGCACAGATCTGCAGATTTTATGTGAGGGTGCTTGAAACAGCTGTTTCCCGCAGGCTTCCAGTTCCTTCCTTCCAAGTGAGGGCCAGTATTGGCCGCCGCGTGAACTGTTCTGAAGCAGGGCCAAGTTCGAGAGGCATCGTTTTGTGGGACAGATTTGCACATTTATTTGCGGACGCTCGAGTCAGGTGTTTCCTGCAAGCTTTTTAGTCAGATCAGCCCAAAGGAGTCATGATTCATGACCAAATCCTGAAAAAGTAACCCGTTTGTTCCAAAGCACAAGCCCCTCATTAAGCAAGCCGCATTTGGTGAGACCTGACCCTTCTGGAACCCAGCTTGGGTCTTTGGAAGCTTGCAAGATGATGCGCAAAATGCTTTTTGACAAACATGCAAACTGCTGCACTTCGAGGTGTGGGCCAGCCTCCATTCAGTACCTGTACTTAAGTGGTAGATTGAAACACAGACACGCCCAAATCCAGGCAACTCCAATTTGCAGATTTGGGTGAAGGCTTGAAAAGTCACCGCTTTGTCGAGCTTTTCCAGTTCTGCTGAATTTGTTGATCCCAGCCTGTTTGGGCTTTGGGATATGTAAGCTTGCTAAGAGCTGCCATTCAAGACAGAAGAGAAGCTGCAGTGGTTCTTGGCTTTCGGCATTAGTCTCCGGACCCGTTCTCGTTTCTTTACTCGGCCCATGATTGTGATTCGGAAATCCTTTTCGCATGGGCCGGATGAGGCTTTAAGGTCCTCTATAGGTCCTCGAATTTTATAAGGCCATAAGGCCATCTGTTTTTCAGTAGTATGCATTGCTGAACAATTGCCGCTCAGAGCTTTGACAGAGGCTGGTGGATTATTGCCGCATTCCACCCAGAGATGTAGCGAAGCTGAAGCAACGCAAGAGCAATGGCTGCTGTCAAAGTCAAACTCTTTGACAACTTTGGTGCCAAAACTGGAAGATAAGGAGCCTGAATGCAAGACTGGTTCGATTAAGAATGCTTGAGAGGGAGCTGTTTAGTGTTTGACGTCCTGGTAGCTTGCAACGGCCGTTTTCTGACTGTACAGGTCAAAAAAGTATGATGAGAAGTGGAGAGGCATCGGAACTATCTGCAACAAGCACATCCAATTTACATCCTTACATCACTTTGTTGCCAGGGACAGCCAAAAGGATGACATTAAAGAGCTGTCACACTCTGACATGACACGCAGTGTTGAGAGATCATGGCATATGGGCATCCTGCCGAAAGAAGCTAGCAGCTGTGCCAATGGGCCTCCATGACATGTGACTGGTCATTTGGTACTTTCGCCAGAACCATGACTGTTCCATACAGCTACCCGGCCAAGCCGATCGACATTCAAGTTTGATCGTCACCAAGTGATGTGTTCCGCAATTGGGACCTCTGCTGCGCTGTCCGCGTTTGTTTCTGCTGTCCTGTTTTGTTTGTCTTTGCCCCTGGCGATACCTACCGTTTCAGCCAAAGGTTGTTGTCACTAGAGTCACTAGATGGCGTGGGTACGCCATTAATTTGAGGCAAAAGACACCCAAAATGCACTGTTTCCCTTTGCGCAAGCCCAGCTCAATGCATGTTGGGTTTCTAACAAGGTGCGCCAGGAAATGTCAGGGGTTTACAAGGCACCCCGGCACCCCGGGGATGCCCAGGAAAGCGTTGGTGCGTTCAGAGTTTGAGAGCACCCAGCCGACCCAGCACAAGATGCAAACGGTGTTTGGAGGCCTCAGGCCAGCGAGGCCAGCGACTCGTCTCCTTTGCAGATGCCACTCAGACACAGTCGTTCAGAAATTTTTGCGTATGATGAACCGGGTTCGTGCTGGCAGGTTTTTTTCCTGACCCTGTGCTCGAAAATATTATTTTCCCTGTAGGAAACTTATTCAGCCCCAACTTTGGTATTTTCAAAGTTCAGGGGGGTTGTCCAATGGAAAAATATTCAGCGACACTGGGGTTGCAACCAAAGAAAAGTGTGGAGTTTCTCGGAGCGGAGTTTGTTGGAGACTTGCAAAGGGATAAACAGGACCTTGGCCACTGGAACTTTATCCAGAGATGTTTGCCCCCATGGTCCCAAAATTGATTCTGGATGTTTTTTGTGTACCATGTACGCCTGGGGGTTGTGCCCTTTTTTGGGAATGGACATTTATTCCGAAAAAAGCTTGGCCCCAAGAAATTTATCCGGGATAAATTTGGGTACAACACCCCGTAGGCACCACACACGGGGATTATGATGCGTTTGTTTTCCTATATAAGGTGCGGGGTGCGTTGCTGAAGAATCACTGCCAGAGTAGTTTGAAAGAAGCTGAGGCCCACTGCTTCATAGCATTGAAATCTCCAATCAAGCTGAAGTAATTGAGGAGCACGGCGGCCGCTGCCAAACTGTTTGACACCGGCTGCAGAAAACCACTTCGCATCAGTTTCTGACCAGTTGCCAGTCAAAATGAGAGCCAGTCAGTGGTGGGGCATACTA